TACAACAACAACAACAACAACAACAAGCCTTTATCCCACTAGGTGGGGTCGGCTACATGGATTGCAAGACGCCATTGTGCTCTATCATTTATTAAGCTTTTAGAAATATTATTAATTAAGAGATCACGTTCAACAACTTCCAAGAGTGTTCTCTTAGGCCTTCCTCTACCTCTCTTAATCGGACTCAAAGTTATATGTTCCACTCTTCTCACTGGTGCCTCCCTTGGTCTTCTTTGTACATGCCCAAACCATCTCAACCGATTTTCTACCATTTTTTCCTCAATAGGTGCCACCCTCACTTTTTCACGTATGTGCTCATTTCGAATTTTATCTTACGTGTATGTCCGCACATCCATCGTAACATTCTCATCTCTGCTACTCCAACTTTATGCTCTTGCTGTCCCGTTAGAGCCCAGCATTCACTACTATATAACATTGCCGGTCTGATAGCAGTACGATAAAACTTTCCTTTAAGTTTATTAGGCACCTTACGGTCACAAATAACTCTTTTAGCTTTTCTCCAATTAAACCACCCAGCTTGAATTCTATGTGAAATATCTCCACTGATTTCGCCATCATTTTGGATAATGGCTCCCAAATATCTAAACTTTTCCACTTGAGGTATAATTTGATCTCCCAATTTCACTTCCAAATTATTTTCGAATAGTCCTTTACCAAATTTACAATATAAATATTCCGTCTTACTTCTACTCAGACGAAAACCTTTCGACTCCAATGTCCTCCTCCATAACTCAAGTTTGCAATTAACCTCTTCTCTTGTCTCTGCTATAAGAACTATATCATCCGCGAAGAGCATACATTTCGGGATTTCCTCTTGAATATGTTCCGTCAAAACATTTAAAATCAAGTTGAACAAATAAGGACTCAGAGATGATCCCTGATGTAGCCAATCTTTATAGGAAAATCCTTTGTTTGACCACTAGGCGTTCTTATACTAGTTTTTACCCCCTCATACATATCTTGTATGGCTTAATATAAGCAATCCGTACTCCCTTTTTTTCCAACGCTTTCCAAAGCACTTCTCTTGGTATACGGTCATAAGCTTTTTCCAAATCAATAAAAACCATGTGTAGATCTTTATCTTTACAACGATACTTTTCCATTAATCCCCTTAGTAGATAAATCGCCTCTGTAGTTGATCTACCTGGCATAAAACCAAATTGATTCTCAGAAATACTTGTCTCCAATCTCAACCTGTGCTCAATTACTTTCTCCCACAATTTCATTGTGTGGCTCATGAGTTTAATCCCTCTATAGTTAGTACAATTCTGAATATCTCCTTTATTTTTATAAATAGGAATTAATGTACTTCTCCTCCACTCATCAGGCATTTTCTTGGACCGTAAAATCACATTAAATAACTTAGTTAACCATCTCACCCCTTCTTCACCTAAACATTTCCACGCTTCGATAGATATACAATCAGGTCCGTTTAGCTCTACCATTTGCCATTTTCTTAAGAGCTTCCTTTACCTCCTTATCACGTATTTTTCGATAGAATGACAAATTTTGTTCTCCTTCACCAGTTACTAAATCCTCCAAGTTACTAGATGAATCCTCTCCATCATTGAAAAGTTTAGAAAAATAAGTCTCCCATCTATTTTAATTTCATCATCTGTAACTAAAATTCTTCCCTCTTCATCCTTAATACACCTTACCTGTTCTAGATCTCTTGATTTTCTTTCCCTACTCTTGGCAATCTTATAAATATTTTGCTCTCCTTCCTTCGTCTCAAGGTTCTTATAAAATTCTTCAAAAGCTTTAGAACGAGCTTCACCCACAGCTCTCTTAGTTTCCTTCTTAGCCATACGGTACCTCTCCCAATTTTCCTCATTGTTACACAAATGTATGGCTTTAAAACAGTTCTTCTTATACTTGATTTTGTCCTGTACACTATTATTCCACCACCAAGACTCCTTATCTCTCGGACCAGAACCTTTCGATTCTCCCAAAACTACTTTTGCAACCTCCCGTATCTTTTTAGCCATATCCTCCCATATGATGTTAGCACTTCCCTGAGAATCCCAAATTCCTTTATCCAAAAGATTTCGCTTGAAAATATCTTGCTTCTCACCTTTTAATTGCCACCACCTAATCCTTGGTGTTACTACTTGTCGACGTTTTTGGATTTTACTCATAATACACACATCAAGGACTAGGACCCTATGTTGTGTCGTTACAGCATCTCCAGGGATCACCTTACAATTTTTACAAAGTTTTCTATCTGTGTTCCTAACCAAAAGAAAATCAATCTGCGACCTTGAGGCTCCACTTTTGTAGGTGATGAGATGCTCATCTCTCTTCTTGAAACAAGTGTTGGCAATCTTAAAATCATACGCCAATGAGAAATCAAGAAGAGTTTGCCCTTCATTGTTTAGCTCTCCAAAACCAAAACCACCATGCACCCTCGCATACTGACCAGCTTCCCTCCCGACATGCCCATTAAAGTCTCCTCCAATAAAAATCTTTTCACTCTGTGGTATGTGTCGAATCAACCCCTCCAGATCCTCCCAAAATAATTCCTTAAGACTGGCTTCTGTCCCGACTTGCGGCGCATAAGCGCTAACAATATTAACAGTCTCACGTCCAATTATCATTTTTAAAGAAATAATTCTGTCTCCAATTCTGCTAACTTCTACAACGTTCTTCTTCCACTCCTTATCTATAATGATGCCTACTCCATTGCGTGCACTTACTTTTCCTGTATACCAAAGTTTGAAACCTTGAATATCCTTAGCTTCTTCTCCACGCCATTTTGTTTCTTGCAAGCAAAGGATATTGATTTTCCTTTGAATCATAACCCCTACAACCTCTACAGATTTACAATTTAATGTCCCAACATTCCAAGTACCAAATCTAATTTTGCTCTTATGGACTAACTTCTTTAGCCGCGTGCGTCCAGAATGACGCGGTAGCCCTTGCTCATTTAACACTACATCCGGGCGCCGATTGCAGCGGCTCTAACTCACTTATCACTGTACTCGAGCCATGCAGCGCGTTACTTACGGGCAACGACCTAGCATTAACATTATAACGTCTATTGTCCATGTTCATGATAGATTCAACAAATTTTTACAAATAGAAACCAGCAACATAAAAATTATTTATAAAAGATGCCAAAAAAATCTAGAGAGAACCATACTTAGAATGCACTCTTGCTGGAGTTGCATGCAAAATGGTACTAAGAAGTCCAAGTATGGTCTGAGTCTTCCCAGTCCCTGGGGGCCCCTAAAAGAATTTTGGTTAGAATCAATTAAAGCATTTAAAGAGGGCCAGAAACCAAAAGACAAAATTACATCATTAGTAATCCAAACAGATGCTGCAAAAAGATTACAAAAAGATAACGAATGTCAGAAAGAATTACAGAAACAAGTTTCATTGTACAAAAGCAGAACCTAGTGACAAAAGTAAAAAGAACGCAAGTTCATAGCCAAGTCCAGAAGTAATCAATTAAATGGCCCAGCCCAGCTTTGGATGATGAGAAAAGTTTTTACAAAAAAATATAGGAGGAACAAGATCCCTCACAGAAAAGAAAGTGAAGCTGCAACCCATGAATCAGCTGACAAGTCTCAAGCAGAGAGACCAAAGGTGCCTCAGTGCCCCAACCCCTCCCTGCCCATCAAGTGCATTTTTGTGCCAGCAGGCCTAGACCCCGGCCTGAACAGCCAAACCCCAATGCCATGTGCGCCAAGTAAAAAAAAGATGTACCCAATAAAAAAAAAGGTGAAGTTGTCATCAATATGAATAGAGAGAAGAGACGACTTACAAGCTGGCAAGCAAATTTTACCGTTTCAACAAAAATTATCTCGTTAAAACTAGCATCTCTTTGACATAAAAAATAGTCGTCTTCCTTTTCAGCAAAGGATCAGAAATATTCCAATGCATTCATGGCATCAAAATATTAGCAAAAAAAAAAAAAAGAAGTTTCAAGCATGTAAGAACATCAAAATTAATTTTGCATCAAAATAAGGCACATATCAAGACACACCTGTATCAAGACAAAGGCTTTAGGTAAAAGACCAGCCTGCAACAGAACATAAAAGTTTGAGGAAAATGCAAAGATATGAATGCTAATTAAATAATACAATGTCTGATGGCATATAAACATAAAGATACAGATATTTGATATCCACATCTTTTGAAAAGAGACTCACTGTTATGGCCTCACGTTGATATTGATTGAAAGTGCTTTCAACATATTCCTTCAAAGGTAATGGGATTTCCAACTCTGATCTGTGGCACCAGAATGCTGTCTACCAGCTGATAATATCAAATCCTTGTAAGGAAGAGAGTTTATAGATCGGATTGCCAAATACTCACGTGCAATGGTGGATAAGCTGCATATCTGCAAAATGCCAAATTAATTTCAGAAAATATAATAACCTTTATCTTGGAAAACAAAAATTAAGCATCCCTACCCTTTTCAATGAATAACAGAACCTTTTGGAAATTTCCCGCACACAAAGCACAGAAGCGTGATTCTCCTAATAAAATGGCTATGATTTAACAAAATACTTTAATATATAATTTAGAAGTTAGGGTTCCTTTGCCATTTTTTAGAAAAATAAGCAAGAGAGGGATATACAAATTCCTGAAGACCTAAAAGCTTGCCGGGAAAAGAGCCTGAAATCAGAAACTTCTAGAAAGGCAAAGGTAAGGAAAAGAGAAAAAGAGTCTTAAAGTATACCAGATATGTGTAAAAGATGAAAGCATATAAACATTAAGAATACTCAATATATACTTGGAACCATCTATTATGAACATGCATAAATGACAAAATGAAGTGCATGCCATCTAATATTTTATAGCAGATCCAACATATTTGTATCACATAATTAAAATATTATAGCTTTGTTAAAGATATCAAATATATGAATTTCCTGTGAGAGAACTCAATATAAAATCTATTAACTCCATTGCAAACAACAGGACTAGCTGTTTCAACATAGAGCCTCCATGATAAAAAGAAAAAAAAAAAAGCATTTTCATAAGCAGAAAATAATAATTAGAATATTACAACAACAATGACAATGATGACAAGCCTTATCCCTACAATTAGAATACTCTATCAATTAAATGCAAAGGAAATGAAAATTTTAAAAAAACTCAGTTTAAGAGTTTCCAACCCACATTTCATCCCTGGAATTGAACTTATTAGGTCCGCTTCATGAGAATGAAATCCAGAGAGGATGGCAGGATGCATGTTCAAGAATCAAAGTTGATCTACCAGACTAAACAAGGATAACAGAAAACATGTTAAAATAATATACCTTCAGAAAACAGCTGCCTTTCTGCCTCGGAAATATGAGAACGCATATTCAACAGTCTTGGGCAAGACTTTGCATCATTTGTATTAAAATGTGAAAACTCTCCAGCCAGATAGAGTCTGACTCGTAGAAGTCTGGCCTCAGAAAATCTACGTATGTGCTCCACCAAGCAAATGCATACACAGTAGGAAATTTTTTACCATTCAGAAACTGCACCATGACAACGATAAAATAAATTCAGCCATTTGAAGTGGAGCTATCAGAGAAAAAAGCAAATAAAGGAAAGACAAAAGACAATGACAACAGTGCTTTTTGGTTTCTTCAAATTCAAAGCAAGTAGAGCACTGTTTCCCTCCCAAAAAAAGTAGACAACAAAATATTGACATGTTGATTTTCGTAATTATATGTTGTAATTGATACATATAAAACACTCATTAGACACGACATGACACATATACAATACATGTTACTTCAGATTTGTTGTGCTGCAATGTCCATGTCAATTTTGCGTCCCATGTCCAGGACAATGCCAATGGTTTCCTAGATCCTTCCTGATTGACAATTAGCTTAACAACAAACAAAGTGCTTCTGGTTGCAAAATATTCTGGAGAGACATAAGAATTGGATATTTACAAATTCACAAGGAGAAATCTTAACAATTAGAAACAAAAATATACTGCTTTGAACAAAAAACAATAAACTTAATCCAAGATGTAGAAGGCAAAATGACAACAATGACAACTCATAATGCAACATCTAGAAGAACACAACATAATTGGACCTAAAGTTTGAAAGGGTACATTTTCTGATCAATAGTACCTTTTCTTTTGAAAGTAGTAGAAGATCATTCTGCGATACTGACTCACCCTCCTTGATCTCACAAGGAAGTTCAATAAAATGAAACCCATCTGCCTCTGTGCAACTCTTTACTACACCTAACTTCCATTCAGTGACTGCAGTTTAAACAGAGTTCTTCAGCACCATTGAGAGAAATTCATTTATCAACACTCAAAACTTTAAATGGAAATCAATGCTCGTAATCAAATTTAAGACTTTCTTGTGCAACTTTGATAATAATGCGCAGAGAAAAGGGTAAAAAACTTCTAAGGGGAGCCTAGAGAAATCTTCCTTGTCTTCTCAGCATGAATATAAGACAAGGAATTTACATTGAAGCTATCAAGGAATTGGCGGGAAAAATAATTCTAGCACAGTTTACTATCAAAAAATACATTAGAGGGAGAACTTATCATATTTAAATGTTAACGAGATGAAAGTTTGTTGACATTCAGAAGTCAATATCATGCTTAAATAGACCAAAAACATTGCAAATCCAACAAAAAAGAGAGTTCTTTCGAATCAACAAAGAAGAGATAAATCAGTATAACTAGATAAATAAACAAAAGATACCCTCTTCGTCCTCGTTCTGCTTAATAATCTGAGATTTTGCTTCTTCAAAAATAAGAGGCTCGTAAGTAGAGACATATTCATCAACGTCTTTATACTGAGACTTCACTTTGGGCAGTCTCAATGCATCTCCATCCCCAGACTCTCCCCCATTGTTCTTCTGCTTCTGAAAAGACCCAAAAGTCAAAACTTTCCACGATGAAGAATCGGACAGAAAGACAGGTTTTTGCAGAAGAAAAGGTGTAATTGAGTAACTACCTTGGATTCCTTGAGGAGACGAAAGTAGTCCCAACTAAGAATAATCTGATAGAAGCGGCGTATTACAGATTCTTCCTCAAGCTTTTCTCTGTCCAACGCCATATAGAGAGAGGAAGAGGGGCTTTGGCGCAGTGAAGATTTTGGGGAGACGGGGTTTTAAGAGCGTCCACACAGAGCAGAGCGTCAACCTCGAGTACGCAAAATATAAGTAACAACTGTATCAAAATGTGCTATATACATTTAGCAACGTAAAGTAAATAAATAATAAATATTAAATAACAGAAAAGGACAGAAAAGTTATAGAAAATAATCAAAAAAAAATCTTGAAATCATTTTCTTCTCAGTTAATAGTTAAAGTTCATAAAATTCATGTAACCTGACATTTGATAGATTGGGTTATAGCCAATTTGTTAGATAAATAGATTAAAAAAAACATAATCTAGCTTATTGGTTGGGGGCTAGCCAACTCGTGGAAAGCCCTTGAATTATTTTTTTTTAACTAGAACAATTTAAAATTTATATATATATACATTCAAATTAAATCAGAAATCACCATCAATCATTCATCTATGCTTCACTAATTAAAAAAAAAATTCCAATTCCAATAAAAAAACATATTTAAAAATCAAAATCAAAGGCATAGATTAGACAAAGAGGGAGAAGCTGAGGGACTAAGAGTAGATAGTTAGATTTGGACTTCATATAGAGCATATAGCAAGAAGATGAAGGCATGGGCAAGAGGCAACAAGGATGACTCAGACTAGATGACGGTGAGAATTAAACTTCAATAGGTGAGGGTAAGAGGTGACAAATGAGAGAAACTTCACGGACCACAACAAAAACTAGAGAGGAGATCAGGAGAGGCAAAAGGACATGCTTGCAAAGCACTACGATTCGAGCTAACCCAACTTATTTTTGAAAACGGGCTCATTTTTCTAGCTTCAATCCAGCAAAATTGGAAGGCTAATGGGTAGCCCATTAGGTTAAGCTCGTTTTCATAGCTCTAATTAATAGTAGGGGCGATATTACACCATTTCTAAAAGCTAAAAGGGAATAATACACCAAAAACAAGTTTAAAATCCTAGACGATCTTAGATTTATAATTTAAAGACCAATTTGTCGTTTAACACTTTATCGAATGAAGGTGATCATTAGTAATTTAGTATTAATTTTGAAGTCTAACAAGATAAAAAAAATACATGATATAATATTGGATAGGATAAAAAATAATTCTCTTTTTGGTAAACAAAAATATAGGTTAGTCAGCCCCAAAGGCTCACTAAGATCAAAGCATGTCTTCAAGTTCAAAAACTCTTACGAAGGAACTTGCACTTTGCCACCAACAAAGTCTTCATGTTGATAGCGAGGTTTAAACCAACTTTATAGGTTATGGGCTAAATCATTCTGTAATATCCTCTCTGACATTACCAAACACAAGGCACAAGACATCATTATAATAATCAGGATTTATTAGATCTCTTATATAAGGTTATCATAACATAAGGGTTTAGAAAATTAGTTTATAAGATTGAGATCTCAAGAAATCCTTTTTTGAAAAGACATTTGAGTTTAAACTCTTATTTAAAACAATTAAATAAGGTAGCGAAAGCATAAACATCAATTACAATCCTTAAAAAAGAACAAAAGGAACAATCAAAAAATTTCAAAAATTACTCCATCTACTGCGATGCAAGCATCACCTGCTATGGTAGATGGCATAGAGGGACCACATCTCTCTTTGTGCAGTGCATCGTAGCGCATCTGCCTCGCACTGCTGTGTACCCCTGCTGTCATGATAGTACTCTAGGACTAATTTTTAGAGTGTAACATTTCACCATCTGACGTCCGATTTGAGCGATTCAAGTGTCCATATGTAGCTCTTTGAGCCACTTAACTATTAGTACTGGCCTTACACCCATATACTTTATCATTTAAAAGTTAGATACTCAAACATAAATTGGTCCATTTTCCTTTCAAAACAACCATAAAGGGTGTCTAAACCCACAAACTTAGTACCAATAACATTTATACAATAACCAAAACAATCCAAACACAAATTGGCCTCTAAAACCCTAATTCCATAATGAATTCAAAGGGTGGCAACAATTCACAATAAACATCATCTTGGCCATTCTAATACGTAAACAGCATAAAAATATCACTTACATTAATATCTTGACTTTTCACAACCCATTCAACACAAAAATAAAATTCTACTCCGAAATACACATATTTACATAAATTTTCATACAAGTGACTACTTAATGGCATATAACCCTAAGTTGGCCATAATCAATACAAATTCGTTACATTACAAAAAGAAAGAGTCAAAGCTATACAAATTAAAGCTCTTTAGGACTCAATAGCCCATTCCTTCTCCTTACCCCTATCGGAGCCTTCACCTGTAAAATATAATCATAGGACGAGTCGAGGACTTAGTAATCAAATAACCTAAACAAAATATTCATGTGTGAGAACAGTTAGTGAGTATGTGAAGTGGCATTTAATATACATATTCCATACATATCATGTTACACACACACATGGCTATATATTAGAGATATGCATGATCAACACACCACCTTATATCCTTCTTATTTCCCTCGACTGAATCTGTGGGTTGACAATTTGATATATCTAAATTTATATGACTGGATAGGCTTAAGCTCACCTATTGTAAGAGGCTGGCTCAGCCAAAGATGCCTTCACCCACTATGGGCCACAAATTTCCCCTTCCTACGAATACTCAGGGTGTCGTATGCCTAATCTATCTTAAATAGTACTAGGCTTTCTAAACAAATATAGAATTGCGTACTAGAGCCTCCACGATGCTAGTGTACCTTATGAATTTTCAAATTATGTTCCCGAATAACAACACAAGGGTGAACTCTACCCTTTCACAATAATCATGCCAAACATATACTTAATAATTCCATACATAGCCATAAACATGTAAGTTTACACTTGAATCATCATTTCCATCATAAATCATACAATTTCGCAAGTAAATATATATAAACATAGGATTTAGCATAAAACCTTTAAAGCCTCAATTGTACAAGATATAGTTATCCATCCCACTTCACATAAAATTTCTAAAACATGATCATTTTTCATGCTAATACTATACTAGTTCAAAGCAATAGTAGCTTTGGCAATTGCTACACAACCATCCAAACATACAAATAAAAAATTTAGACAATTCGGTTACCGCAACCCTTTTGTCATAAAAGGATTGTCGTGGTCAAAACTTAGCTCCACAAGTGTCCATAAGTTTAATAAGCCTGATCAATATTTAATCTACCATATTAAATATTTAGTCATCAATTCTCACTTTAATTAATCCATTTTTGCATAATTTTGGATACTCACTATACCTAAAATTTCACTTTAACACCATTAACTCTCCTAACACACCTTTAATTCCATTTAATACCCAAACACATAAATAACACCAATTCTTTCACCCACATTGCTCCTAAACTCTCAATTTTCACTTAGGGTTCGTCCAAACCCTAACTTAAATTCTAAATCACTAATCAATCTATAAACCTAGATTTAGAAGCTTGATTTAACCCTTCAAGACTTTAATTAAAGCAATGGGTTCAGTCAAAACTTAAGAAAGCATAAAATCAAGCACCAACTATACCAAAATCTACCAAAATTCACCTAAATGAGAGGGAAGAGGGAGAGGAAACTTACCCAAGGGAGTAACAAACTCTAAATACCTCTAAAATGCTCCAAGAGTTAAACCCTAATAGCCCCAAGCTTCACCTCCGTCGCCCTCTCGCGTTTTCTCTCTTCTCTGCCTCTAATTTATGTAGATTTTTGTCCATCTGCCACAGCGTTTAGCTTGTCCTTCACGGTGGCAGATGGCACAAAAAGACTCATCACTATTTTAGGCTTCCTTCTATACCTTAGTTTGCTCGAACTCTATCCTAGCTTCTTCCAAAGCTGTTCAATGATCCAAAAACCATATTAGTTATCTAAAAATATCATCAACTCAAAATTTTCTTATTTGGACTAGTTTACCTTTTCAAACACTTATAAATTTCAAAGCTAAAAATTTAAGATGTTACACATTACTAATCAGATCAATTTTTATTGGAAACAATAATTCTTTTAACCAAAATATCCCTTACTAAAAGCTACCATGCTTAGACCTAACAATGCTCTAATCGAATCTAGTCAAATAATTATAAAAAATGATTTGTTATTGAATTTGCTGCCCTATATTATATTTAGACAAATCGCCTTTATTCAACTTCTAAATAAATGAGATTCAGGTTTTTAGTCTCAAAGAGCTAAAGGGGATTCAATTGTGAAACCTTAAAATCAGGGCTTGGATTTCTTCCCACTATGTTCCTTTCTTTTCTTTTCTTTTTTTTTGGTGAAACTATGTTCCTTTCTATTGCATCTTTGCTATAGTTCTAACTTCTAAATCATTCATATAAAATTTTGAAGATGTTAATTGGTATTTGTATTTTTAAAAACTATTAAATTTACACTATCAAGTTTAATCTAATGATTTACAACTGCAATAGTGCAAATGTCAACTTACACTGCTCAATGACGGCAATTAGTTACGGATTTTAAGCTTGCTTGGACTAGGGAATTAGAAAGGGCAGACTCTAATATGGGCTGAAACTATGATTAGGTTACCAAGAGGTTAATACACCATTTGGTAGACAGAAAAGTATTTTTTAGAAACAAAATTAGAGATACACGTATCTCATTTTTTAGATACTTTTTTTCTTTTAGAAATTTTTTTTTATAGACCAAACATGCACTAAATGTTCCATCATTATTGTTAAGAGATTATCGATGGTAATGATATTCAACTGGCCAATAGAGAAAAAATTAGTTTGTGTTGATAACTTAATTAATTTGTTTCATTTTTTTTTTTTGATGATGCCTTTTATGCTCTTGATCAACCATTGCCTTTGATTAGAGGTAAGGCCAAGATTGGAGAGGATTTGGATATGGTGAGTGACATAAATTCGTTCACTCAATGTGTATTTCGTGTAGGACAAGACGATAGTATTTGTTGAATTTAATCAAATACTATAAAAAAATTGTCATATAATATTTAAAGAATATCAAATCTCAAAATTTTGGAGGAGATTGAGAGCATTTTGATCATGATAATTGTTTTAAATTTTTAAAAGAACATATATTTTAATAAT